ACCTGTTAATATTAAATCACTGATATTTTCCCTTACGTCTATCATGGAAGCAGAAATATGATAGATTTGCTTTATACGCAGAGGTAGAAGATTCATCGTACCTAAGTGTCAAAACTACATCCTAAAGTAAATTCACTAGTTCCGTTTTAAATCTTCTTTTCTGTAAAGAACAGATAACATTTCGACATGCTGTGATTGATTCACACGTTGAGGTGCACTGAAAATCAGAGGATTCTTCGTGCGCACGTGTTTCTTTAATGATTACACAATGACACTCTTGGTGAAGGATTAGGTGTTAATAAACGTCTTCACTGGGTAGTTACAGTTATCCGGAGTAGATAAGGAATATGGATGGTGCCTCATTAGCGTCTGACGCTTATATTTAGCTCGAATTACTTTCATCTGGTTATTGGTTAGTGAACTGTCGTAAACATTTATATATAAATTTATCTAGGAATCGGTATCACTATCACCTGTTTGGTATTTTTTTCAGATTGTCAATTGTATTATTTTATACAATGCATTTGCTCTTTTATTTAATATGGAGATCCTTTGAATTATACAATATTTGACATGGATTTCCAAGTATTTCGTCCGAGTACGATTTCCGGTACAACAATGTAGAGCACATAGTGCAAGTCTGAATATTTTACCGATTTAAATATTCAGACGCTACAACTATGCACACGATCAACTATTGACAGTATAGAATTAGAGAACAACTAATCAAATCTGCATGACGTACACGATTAATTGATACCTCTTAACGAATAATGCATATTACCTACAAGAACTGTCAATACAACAAGTGAATAATGAATGGCTGTGAGATATGTGTTGGTCATATAATCGATGACGCACTGTCCATGGCGATATGCGATGCCTTGCTAGGATTCTTCTTATATTAATGACACATGCCAAGTTTCTACTTAAATACTCTCATATTGCGACTGGCACCACGGGCGCTGTGCTGTGTTCAACGGAAACATTTTTACTTCCTACGCCAGTGAGCGAGGAACTATTGTATTTGGATGTTATATTACATGAACATCACGTAAAAGTATGTTACTTATTTCGATCGGTATGTTGATCTGTCCGGTCATCCTATAATCACCTATAACTTGAGAAGCACCGGTCGCGGTTTTTGAAAATCGGTCGAAGGCGACAGAGATAAAACCAAAAAAACGATAAAAGTATAAATCGCTCAAATTTTGTCTATTTTTGAAAAACAAATTCTAAGGGTCGAAAATTGGTGATTGAGCGGCGGAACTACGAACAAACAAGTAAAAATCGGTGGAACATAGCAAGCGGAATGGCCAAATGAAATTATTTATACAATTTTGGTAAAGAATTATAGGTGCCATGTTAAAGAGAATAATCGTTGGGCACAATTGAATCATTGACAAAGATAGACCGTCATTTCCCTTTAGTGACTGTTACTTGTACGAGTCGCTGGAGTGAATTTTGTTCAACGAAAGAGTAAGTTCTGGATATCATCTAACCGTTACCGGAAACACCCCCACCAATCTCTACCATTCGATTCGTTAGTAACAAACAGCCATACATCCCGTTTGTCATGTTCCTCTCTAATTAACCCTCTGAAAATTTTTACGCACACCCCGATGTGTTGCCCGATGCCCATCATGCCATCAATCATTTCTCGCTGATGACTAGACGCACTTGCGCTGATGTTTTGGCGTAGCGTACTTCATCCGTAATTTGATTAGCGTTAGCCTTTACTCTTCTGCGTTTTCAGATTTCATTATTCACATATAAAGCCTCGCAAGCTTCACAGTAAATGTAAACGTCTTCGATAAAGTTTAATCATAAATTATCTTAAATTCCAGTTTTGTTGTTTGCAAACTGTAAAGTTTTTGAAATTCAGTCCGGGCGAGTTGACTCATTCACGGTTCTGCTTAATCCGGAATTAGAAAATGGGCGTAACGTTCGAAAGCTAGGGCACAAACTGAGGGCATAATTTATCGCCTTTCGAGTTGGTCATGGAATGCCAGTCAACTAGCCAAATGACCGCGTTGGCGCCACATTCGTCGAAGGGGTGACATAACGACCTAACTGCGACCAGTCAGGACATCGATGACAGATTGATAGATGTCTGTCTGACCATGTGTACTTATAGTCTAATCATATTAGACGAAAATACCCCTGGTTTGCGAAATGGTTGTAAAGGTTTTATTGTATTGTAAAAGTTTTTATTAGACAACAGAGATTGAGAAAACGTGTTTTTTGGGATTCAATCGAAAGTGTTGACAGGAACGAAAAACCTCATATAAGTTTTTTAGGTATTTATTTGACCTACAAAATGAGACCACTCAAAAAGATCCGACTAGTTATGGCCGAAAATCTTGGCAAACTGCAGGTCTTGACACTTGTTGGTAATTCGATGATGGTTTCTCGCAGATGCTTGAAATTCTTCAAATTCGTAGCATTCGTACTTCTAAATAACCCCAACAAAATTGGAGTAGATTGGTCAGGTAGTTTTTGAGAATTTCTAATTGTTTGTCCCAAAACACATGTTTTTCGGCCATTACTTCTGGTTTATTGAGCAATCTACAGGGTTAGCTCAAAGGACATCTTATAGCAAAATACACTAGTTTACCTTGCTGATATGAATCGCAAACCATTCCGGAAGATTAATGTTATTTTTATGCAAAAAAGCATAGGTTATGTTTTTTCATCTAAACAAATTCAAACATTTGTCATTGGTGAGTAATTCGCAACAAAAGATGATAGACACATCCCCTTTTTAGTATAGTAACATGTTTTTCCAATATCATAGCTCATTTGTTTAATTACTCACAAATACGAAATGTTTGAATTTGTTTAGAAGGAAAAAACGTAACCTTTGTTTTTCGTATAAAAATAACAGTAGTCTTTCGGAATGTAAAAAGTACTCACTCCAAAAGATTTTAACACGTTAGGTGCCCGACATATTTTTTAACATGTCTCCACTACGCCAAACATATATTTTACATTGAGCACTCGTGGGCCACCATATAAAAAGACGTTGGTCCCATCGGGGCCACATTCCTCATTATGGAAAAATCTAAGAAATTATATGCGCGGCATATAGCTTCTAGGCCATGGTGGTCCATTTCTGCAAACGTACATAGGTAAATGGGCGCCAACGGCCCAGCAGCTATTAGAAAATGCGTTGACCCTATGGGACCAACATAGCCTGGTAAGCCAAAATACATATATGTTGGCCCTATTGGACCAATGTGGCCTGCTGAGGCAACATGAGTGTTGGTCCTATAGGACCAACGTGACAGTGAACCTGTTTAATGAAAAAATTGGATAATAATGTACGAGTACATTTACTAAAGATAGTTATTACTCGACTGCCTCGGAAGAAAGGATATGTTAACGCGTGGCTATGTAATGTATCTATCAAAAAAATTCTGTTTCAGAAGACGAAACGGGTTGAGGGATTAATAACTAAGGTGTCGTAACTATCGTTTTATATGTGCAAGTGACACTGGATATATTAAAATGTTATAGAAACAAAATGACAAATTTTAACAAAATAAATCAACCTATTTCACAAGGTTAAACAGTTTGATGGATTTTGACATTGGCTCTTCTATATTATGAATCAATATATTTCATGCTTCTTTTTTTGATGATATTATAAACGTTTCAATTTCAATGGTCTTTTATCTAATTTTCATTGTTGCAGGATCCGTTCACGGTGAGTTGAAAAGACATCAATCATCAAATGCATCAATTGGTAAGCCATAAAGTAATGAACATCGAATTTCAGAACAATATGCAATTTGATACGTTACACCTTGTTATCGTCACGCCCTATTCCGATTCGTGTTTAATTGCTCTTATTTGAGACAGTCAAGTCATGCCTTTTATGAGTAGGTATATGATGTAATTGGTAGTACCTTTTTAAATGTTCTCCGCATGAGGAGAATTACCAGTAGAAGAACCACTCCATCGAAAAAACAGATTCTGTCGCGGTGGCTGAAATGCTACCTGCCGTTTGGATGCGATCACCCATTCATTACCTGCGATTATACTCCAGGAAGTATTTTCCCATATACTCGAGAAAATATTCTGATAAGGTTTTTGTGTACAATCTTCATGAAAAAAGAAAAACAATATTGTTGCAGTTTTAGGTCTTTCAACATTAAAACGAGTCTTTTCTCAATGATATTATGCGAAAAGCATTTTTTTGAGCAAAGGATATTTGTCATCCATTGTCCATGCCATAAACATAATAATGACATGAGTTACTCTGTAGAAATACAATCACTCGATGTCATTACAATCAAATGTTCGAGAAACTATTCCGTACGCGTGCCGAAGTACGACAGCACTACCCTGTATAAATCAATAAAAACAGTGCGGGACCGAGATCTTTGAAATGTGTCGGCATCTTCAGAAGTCAGAAGATCATATCCTTTTTCGCGAGTGCCCGTTCTACTGGTAACTCTATGTTCTTTGGTTATCTAGTGCAAGTCATTCTATTATAATCGCAACATGTTTGCATACTAATCGTTGAACAGAATGGCGCCCGCCTCATCTTAGAAGAACAAACGGCTTATTGTTATTTTTCATTATATGTATGGAAACGAGGCATATCGCATTAAAGTAGGTGCTAATTTAGATCTGTCTTACGCCAACCATTTTGTGTTGAAAAACAATGGCATTCCATCGAAGCGAGACTGATTACTGGTAAATAGAATAACGGGGTACCAAATAATGTACTTTTATTTATGTACCGCAACCATTATGTTCTATAATAATTCACCAATGCACTGTTTGATTGTCTATGCACGTTTAATATGTGTAAAACATAAAAAGGTTCGTTAACAAATCTAATGCCTTGTTACCGAATTTTTATGTTGGGCAACTTGTAGCAAAATAAGTTTCTTACAATATAAAAAAAAATGTTGATCTGTAAAATATCTCAGAGTTTTTGATTTCGATTATGAGTGTGTATGTGGTCTGTGTTTTATAAATCAAGTATGTACCAGATTAAGTTAGGCTTAATGAACCTCCAGTTTATTACTAACAAACTGTATCCAAAGAAAACATTTAACAAATTGCTTTATAATTCCAATAATTATGTTCGCTGATTATACTTGTTTGTCTTCATGTTTTACTTGTCTTTATTTCGATCACGCATGTATGGAATGGAACTTATAATTGAAAATGGTACAGACAGATAAACGACGGTTTGGAAGAACATGTGTGCAAACATTGTTCTATTGCTCATCCGAGTTCGTGGCATGCCGGAGACGACGTTGCATTCTCTTGGAGTCTGAAATAAAGTCACTCGCGTTTTTATTCACATTTTACTATATACCTACATTACAGTCTCGTATCATTTACACATTTGCGAACCCATGCAAGAAAGTGTTTTCAGTATAATTTATCAGCTTGGAAAATCCGTTAGTGATCAAGAATATGTCTGTCCTACGTGACATTGAGTGTTAAAATAATTTCTTTACATTCGTTTTACTTACCGGCATTGTTCGTGTGGATGCTGTTCGACAACTGTTGAGCCGGTTTACAAGAAAATTGTGTCAAAGTAATGTCAAACTTGAACTGTCATCTGAACCGAGGGATGGTACGCAATATACGTTATACAGGATGTTCGTGAATCCCTTAGTAATGTGGGATGATGCAGAGATCTCATAGATATCCCGGGCATTCGAATGCGAATAAAAGAAGCTATCAACTTAGGTCGAACCGAGGAACTTTTTCGTCAGGCTGTATAGTTCCCTTTAAGTTTAAAAAATGGTAGCGTGTCAACGTGAGCGATGGTTGTTGGACGTCAAACGGTTAAAAGATAAGAATCTAACGATCTAATTGATGTTGTTTATATATGTTATGATATAATTCCAAGATGGGCGTTGTACCTAGACTAATGTAAGCTACAACAAATTATAATGTATATATAATATATAATAACTAATGTCTTTGTTTACATGTTCCCGTCGACGCTACCGGTACATGGATTCATCTCAGGCGGTAAGTCTCTGTTATTTGTTTGATTTTCGCAATATTATTTTGTTATACTGTGGAATTGTAAACATAAACAGCATTGTTCCAATCATCCATGAATATATGCCAACATTCTGATAGAAATGACCATTTTGTAACGAAAACACACGAATTCAATTTATAGGCAGCGCGGTCGTGAACACAAAAAAAGTTATCAATTAGTCATTAAAAGCGGACGAATATTTCTTTTGTTAGTAAGCAACTGCTTTATGTGACACCCGACACTCATCCTGCGGATAGAACACCTTGATTTTCTGGCCAAATGAAACCACAAATGCACCAAATGAACAAATTACCTTTTACTGGCGTTTCGGCCGCACTGTTGCCATTTTCAAAGTACTTACAGACATTTGCCCTAGCTACATTCCACTATTATTATCTCCTAAATATCTGTCGCATTTACGACGTCACTGTTGCATCTAAATTAATTTTGTTGACAGAAAAAATTCAGTCATCGTACGTCCATTAACGTGCGTACGTATATGACGGTCCGAGCACCGTCTACGATGTAATAATTCTCTTTTCTGACCGTGTACATTCACTTCTAGGGGTGTGTTTTTATCCGTATGCACATTCTACTTTGGAATGTCGCTTGTGCTGGCTGCAGTGCTACGGTATGGCCATTTTCAACCCGGGTATACTGTATAATCATTATATATACGTATATCCAACGTTGCTACATTACAATAGCTTTGTGAATTTTCCAGTTCGCCGTGTTATTACGCGGTACTGTCGGAAAGTGAAATACCCTTATTCAATACCTCTAGAGCTTACCACAAATTTGATTATTAAAAAAAAATGAGGACTCAAAATGTTACAAGACCATTTGGCTTCACTGTTGGTCATCATATAGATTTTTAATCACTGACTTACCGCTACAGGATAAATATTTATATATTTTAGCAATATTTGGATATAAGGAGTACGGAGTACCACTTTAGCGTTCTGCGATGCTTTTGTAAATGACGACTGTTTTTATATCTGCACATATATTTTTCTGAATTTTATGGTCCTTAAATGTTCCACCCATTACGTTGACCTTTAAGTTGTGTTACTCCGTCTATGATGGTTTTCTGAATATCTCTTCGAGTAGATTGACTCGGCTCTTATGACGCATTAATATTTCCCTACATCTATAATGGAAACAGAAATATGATATATTTACTTTGTATATGTTAGTTTGATATACAGAGGTCGAAGATTCATCGTAACCAAGTGAACCTACTCAGTCACGATTCGATTTTGCTTTTGAAGCGATTTGACTCGTTCCTTTTCTTTGAAACCTCCATCGAAAGCGTAGGAAGTACAAAGACAATATATTTGACATTTTTTAACACGTTAAACACCAAGTAAAATGTCCACCAGTCATGTTATCGACAAATAATGTGTCTAATGTACCGTCTACGTCAAAAGCTGACACAAGACGGGAACGGCATGTACTGAAGAAAAAGAAGGAAAATCACATGAAGTCAGACGGTATTGTAAAGGATGTTATACTTAGTACAAAAATAAGGGGTCCAATAGCAAAAAATAAAATTCGAAAAGTTACTACATATTGTGAGAGTTGTGAAGGAAATTCCCACTTTAGTCTTGACTTGTTTGTTTTTATTAAAGTTGTTGTGTAGATTTAGAAGGAAACAAATAATGGGAATCAAAAAAAATATATAATAACCCTAATTGAAACAAAAATACACCAAAGCTGGCATATGGGTATATTCCGTACAAGCCACAGCGGTCCATATCTAAGGCTAAAATAAATTGAAATATGGATCTTTGGCTGGAGTCACCGTGGAAATAAATTAAATACAAAGCGGTCCATACGGACCGCCGTACCGTGATAGGTCCGTTGTCAAGCTGTCCCACGGGACCGCCATGGTGTTTAACGTGTTAAATATGTAGTTTCTGTGGCGGAACCTAGCTAACGTTACTCTCTTATACCCTTGCACATTGTTGTTGAATTCCATAATCCTGTATAATGTGCAATCATCATTGACCGGGTGTCCGTCTGATCTGAGACCAGGTGACGGCAGCAGCAGATCCATCAGTAGGCGCGATTCCCAGCTCGACAGCGATCCGCGACGACGCGACGTCTTTAGTGACGACGCCGCTGCTGGTGCTGCTGGTGATCAACCATCTACCGACATCATATCTGGCTGATCAGGCGTCCGCGACCGGTGCGTAGCCCGCGGCCCAACAGCTGACAGGAGATGTCATTATGCAAACGACGACGCCGCCGCCGTCAGTCATCACGTAAGGCTCTCATTATACTTCGAGGTGGCGGCGACAGGTTTGCGAGACGGGCCAAATAGATTCCGAGCTTCGTAACGTTTGTCTTGTTCTCAGACGATTAACGAACTGTATTAGTGCTTGACGGTTTAATACTTACATCAATTGACGGGACCGTCACATCTGACATTCGCCTTCTAAGTCGCTGTATCTAATTCCCAAGTAAACATAACAGCTAAGTGTACTTACACGGCAAGCTTATTATAGTACTCTACATATATTCAAATCGTTTTCTTTTTGTTAATCCTCGCGCTTTTGTATTGTCTTAGTATTCTGCCCTGACCAATACAAACGCGATCAGGAGTATATACCCCAAAAATTAAAAACACAGGTTTGAATTACAAAATGTTGTTTGAAATTTGATGATAATGTGAATATTCGAGATGCTGTTTCTGGGACTTGTTTATAAAGTTTTTTCTGATTCACGACGTTTCGATTAATGTAATCTTTAGCTCTTAAAGTTTTTTTATATCCTGTCATCATGCTCTTATGATTATTATTTATCGCATTTTCGTTAGCTTAATAGCTTAAATCATACATTATGACAATTAAATAACGATCTTTTAAGGAACGTATTGATTGGATGGTTTGGAACAGAGTGTGAAAAATGTGTCATTTTGTTTGAGAATTCGGAATTTCTGTGGCAATTGCTATTTGTTGACACACGCAGTAATGTTCGAATGATTACACCAGTAATAAGTATACTTAGTGGCAAAAAAAACAAAAGGTAAACATCTTCGTATGTTTATTAGATTTCAAGAATTTTTTACATATCAATTTATCTTGCCATGAACAACAAGTGATAAAATGATCAGGTTTTTCCGAGAAGGACCGCAGAGCGACACGACCGCCAGTTAAGACTTCTGGCTCCGAGATACAGATTCAATAGTTGGTTTGAAGACCATGGAAAGATGTGTATGTGTACCGTATATCGCCGAATATGCTAGTTTGGCATTTTTTCTTATCGCCCACATTGGATGCTACCTGTCACAGCTGAACATCGGGGTAACCGTTTCCTCTGGTGTAGAGAAATAATTCTATGGGACCGGTAATGCAATCAGGTGGTCTTTAGTGACGAATCCCGCTTTTGTCTGGAGATGCACGATTGTCGGGTAAGTGTGAGAAGGCGACGTGGTGAAAGACGTGACCCACAATTTGACAGAGAGCGTCACGTTCGCCACACTATTGCTTATGTTAGCAAATCACCACCACATTTTCATCAGAGGCCACATGACAGCCCGACGCTATATTCAGGAAGTAGTGGAGGCTTATCTTATTTCATACCTAAACAACATCCAAAACCTGATTTTTCAACAAGACAATGTCAGGCCGCATATTGCCAGAGCATCTTTAGCCTTCATGGATCAACATCGCACCCATCGTTTACCTTGGCCAACCACGATAGGTCGCAGGCTCTTTAATTTGCAACACTCTCCATAGACTTTAGCAGCTCTTACTCATGAAATTGCAGTAGCCTGGAATGAGATACCCCAACAGGATATCGATCACCTTATCAGCACGATGCCCAGGCGTGTGAATGTGTGTATGGATCCTCAACAGCTTCTACAATCAGTTGACGAATAAAGCTGACAATGTAATCATTTCACTAGTAAGGGATACTGAATATATATGCCAAAAACTATTAAAATCTAATAAACATACACGTATGTGCTTACCAGTTTTTGTCACTCAGTATATAAGTATCTTTCTGTTCCATGGTCATATCCCTCATTCAACATGTGCTGCCTTTGTGATGCGAATGTGTGGACCACCATCAGTACGTAAGTATCACAGACATGCATAATATTGTTTACCTCTTCAAACAGCTGCTTTGGATCAGCCGTGGTCTCACAATAGAGAATGTAAACTAAAAATACTCCAACAGTGATCCATAACAGTATAAAACACACAATGTTATAACTTGAACGGATCCGCCATGCGTTTGAGCTTATAGCTTATTCATAATATATTTATCCTTTTCCATGTTCTCCCTTATCTTAATATATCTACGACTTACAAATTCGTAACATTATGTATATTTATGCGAGAAACATATCATTCACATAATTGAAAAATAATTGAAACACTGCAAACATGGCAATTGATAATCATCATCTTTTGGTTTCATTTTGCCGGCGATGTTGCTGGAAACACATGGCATTGCAAATAGGCTGCCTTAAACAGCAGCACATCCTATTACATAACTGATACCATCCGTCGACGGGGATATACGTTGCAGAATATCAGCACTCATTACCATGATATATGT